GAGAGCCTTTATGAGGTTAATGTACTTCTTTGGTACTCCTTTCAGTGACAAACACTGCCATAGAACCTCACGATCAACGGAGTCAAATGCCGCCTTAAGGTCAAGAAATACTACGATTGTGGGACGTCTGAATGCATGTCTATGTTCTAGGACCTGACGTAGAGTGAATGTCTGGTTTATGCAACCACGTCCAGGTCGGAAACCAGCCTGGTTTTCTCTAGTCTGCTCTTCACGAGCTTTGGTTAGGCGACCTAGTATTATTGAAGCTAATATTTTAGCCACTATATTAGTCAAACTGATATCTCTGTGATTGTCACAAGAGGACTTTTGTCCTTTCCTATAGACGGGCACAATCAGTGATTGGGACCAGTCAGATGGAATTACGTCCAGTTCCCAGATTCTACCTAAGACCTCAGTCAATCTCGCTGCTAGTACTGCACCACCATTCTTAAAAATCTCAGGGGTAAACTTGTCAGGGCCTGCTGCTCTCCCTCGCTTCACATTTCCTATAGCTTTTTCAACCTCGTAGAGAGTTGGAGGACTTACCTCAATTTGCCATTCAGGACGACTGAAGATCGTGGGTAATTGAAGTGTGGCTGAAGGCCAGTTGAACTGATCCCTAAAGTGTTCTGCCCATCGATCCAATCTCCTGGATTGAGAATGAATAATATGCCCATCTTTATCTGAGATGGTTTCACTGATATTCGGGTTCCTAATACCGGTTTCTTTAACGAGTCTGAATAGCTGCCTACTGTTACCTATTGCCGCTGCCTTTTCCATCTCTCTTGCTTTCGCTACCCACCACTGTTCACGATCATTACGTAGGCTTCTTATAAGCCTGCGCTTAAGTTGACTCCGCTCTTCGTTATGCTCAGAGCCAGGTGGGATGAGTTTACGAGCATCTATCAGTGCGGTAGATGCTGCCGAGATCCATTGTTTCTCCCTAACCTTATGGTTTACCTTACTAGCGGATATCACTGCTGTTTCCACAGCTTTTCGGATGTCATTCCACGTTGCCTCAGGGTGGACACAACTTACATGGCTGCCTAACTGTTTTTCTAGTTGTTCCTGAAATCTATTTTTAGCTTGCTTATCATTAAGTAGAACACTTAGAGGCTTCTCTGCAGTGTCTTTCCTACGTCCAGTAAGTCGCAGACAGATGCGTACTCGCACTAGAGCATGATCTGAATCTAAACATGTGCCCCAGAATGAGCGACAGTCTTCTATCGAGCCCCTCCATCGGTGGCTGATAGCGATGTGATCTAATCGGGTACAACGTTGGGACGAATTCGGGGGTCGCCATGTCAAAAGATGATTTTCCTTATGCTTAAAGTTAGTATTTGCAAGAAATAGGCGGTTATCTGAGGATAGCTGCAACAGACGGTCGCCATTATCTGTTCTTTTCGCCATGACACCATAAGATCCACCCAGGTGTCTTTCCCTTTCACTTAGTTTACCTACTTGAGCATTAAAGTCACCTGCTACTATTACTACATCAGAACGCCTAGCTTCTCGGAGAAGGTCAGAAAGTTTCCTGTAGAACTCATCTTTTATATCGTCTGAGCTGCAGTCAGTGGGAGAGTAGGCAGAGACGACGAAGAGACAAAGACGAGTTTCCCTATCTTTCTGGGTCCTTACTGATCCGTTTAGTCGGACAGCGCATAGACGACTGTCTACTGGGATCCAGTCTAAAAAAGTTAGTTCTGCCCTACGACTTAATGCTATACCTACTCCAGCGAGGCCACGGGAAGCAGTATCAGGGCTTCCAGATACACGAAGCGTGTATCGAGATGAATCTTTATTTTGATTAGGTGCGGTCAAATGAATGACACTACTCGGATCTTGTATGCGCGTTTCGGAGACGCAGCACACATCGATGGTGTAAGATTCTACAGTCTTAGCTAAAGAAGCTTGTTGTCCTATTTGGCACAATGTCCGGACATTGAAAGTTCCTACATGTAGTTTAGAGCGTGGTTTCAGGAGACCAGGAATAACGTTGCGTGTACTCGAATCGTTTTCCCTAGCGGTGCGAGGTGATAAAAGGACGTGGGAAGGGTTAGTCGTGGAGATAAGAGAGTTATTAGGTGTAGGAAGGATTTGAAAGCGACCAACTTGGTCTTCTGTGCAGTTAAGGGTATGAAGGCTAGTATCACTTCCCGGTTGCGCACACCGTGGAAGGGTATTTCTTGAGGGACCTGAAAAAGAAGTTGGATTAGTGTTGGTATTAACGACCTGGCAGCGTGACCGCAGTGCCCAAGGGACAACTGCTTGAGGCCGGTCACGCACGGCCTTTTTGTGGTAGATTTTTGACGTATTAGCTCCGTTCTTCAAAAGTCCTTACCGCCGGAAACGGAAATCCGTGGGATAAAGCGAGGTGTCCATTTTTAGGGTCGACCTTTTCTAACCCCAGCCCTCCTTGTGGGAAGGCAGCATCGCTGTCATGCTGGTTGTCTGAAGGAAACACCTTACTGCTTTCACACCTCTGTACAGTCAGCAGTACGACTTCGCCTTCGGACCATGGGTTTGCTGCTTTTAGTCTCACCACACTTCAACCGACCTGTCTGGCATGGTAGGACCTTGAGGAACGATTGTTCCAGCCAGCATAGCTCGATTGGATCATCACGATAGGCAAGCCCGACCACCACGTCAAGGTAGCAGCAACGGTTGGGTATTCTATATGATACCCATATGAAAGTTGATAAATTTCAGGATCTATCTTGATCATTAATTATACTGATCATTATAAATGACATGAATTAATTATAACTAATGATTAATGAATTATTTTATTCGTTTAAAAATCCCAATCATATTAAAAGACTAATATTTGAACGAAGAATATTCTTTTCGATAAATTCTCTTTAGGTTCTACAATTATATATCCAGATTATTAATCCGACGAAGTGGTCAGGTTAAAGACAGAGTACATCGTTTAATGCATGTAAATTTAGGAATGTCAAATCAAATAGTTAATGTTGATATTGACTCATATAGAATGTTAACCCTTGAATCTGTATATATGTTAAGTGAAAATTTAAGATCTGTGATCAGAATATAAATATGGGTCAGATAGGATGAGAGAGATATGATAGTGCAAATTACAATTCGATCAAGTGGAAGACTAAATGTGTGAAAAATTAGTGAAGGGGTTTTTTGGAGATTTAGTATTTATTATAGTTGAAAGCGTGAGTCAATTTAAGCTAGACCACCATGGAAAACCTGGAAACACTGGACGGCCGTTTCGTCTTATTATGGGACTCCTCAGCAGTGCGCATCCACGAACCCGCTCTCGCGATATTCGAACCCAGGACCTACCAGTCTCGAGCCGAAGCCCTTTACCGACAGACCACTGAGCTGAGGGGTCCCATAATAAGACGAAACGGCCGTCCAGTGTTTCCAGGTTTTCCATGGTGGTCTAGCTTAAATTGACTCACGCTTTCAACTATAATAAATACTAAATCTCCAAAAAACCCCTTCACTAATTTTTCACACATTTAGTCTTCCACTTGATCGAATTGTAATTTGCACTATCATATCTCTCTCATCCTATCTGACCCATATTTATATTCTGATCACAGATCTTAAATTTTCACTTAACATATATACAGATTCAAGGGTTAACATTCTATATGAGTCAATATCAACATTAACTATTTGATTTGACATTCCTAAATTTACATGCATTAAACGATGTACTCTGTCTTTAACCTGACCACTTCGTCGGATTAATAATCTGGATATATAATTGTAGAACCTAAAGAGAATTTATCGAAAAGAATATTCTTCGTTCAAATATTAATCTTTTAATGAGTTATTATCATTATTATTACTTAAAATGAGAAAAGAAATATGGAATCAATTTTGTTTACAGGAATTTTGTATTCTGTGAAATACAATGATTTCTAGCTTACTACACTTTAAGATCTGCATTGTTTATCATTTTGCCAGATGTATAAGAATATAGATTGAGATGTATAAGGTCGTGTATATTTGTATTTACATTATATGCTTTGAATCAGTAGCTAAGTCAGTCAGTCACTCAGTCATAACGTGGAACTTCGTACGTACGAAAACCAGTTCGACTTGCCATACCACATTAGCACAGAGATGCAGTTGTCGATTCAAATCCCATAGTGATAGAATAAGTAAGAGTATAAACAGTAGTCAGAAAAGTTAGGGTCGGAGGATGTTATTGAAAAAGTATAATCTAGTGAAATAAATTTTCAAAGAGAAAAATGATAGAGAAGTGAAGAATTCAGAAGATTAGAATTTGGTAGAACACAAAAAGTGGATGTACCTTCGCCATTGTAAACAATTTTGAGACATGTCTTTCAAGGTCTCTAACCATCTATTGCTATCTTCTCGCGGGTCTCAACCAGATAGTCTACACCTAACAACATGGCGCAGACCACTTGTTAGTGAATTCATGGATTTGTGTCACGTTTTGGTCTGGCGGCCCCTGGATTTCTTCCAACCTACTCCTACACCACAAAACATTGTACCTCAGTTGCTAAGTAGATAACATGATGTCGTTTGAAGAGATTGGTACTGGGTTCGAGTCCCAAAGTGAACATCGATCCTAGGATGCAGATATTCCCAAAATAGGATGAAACGCAATTCCTGAATTCCATTGCTAGCTACCATCTATCTTTTCTTATGATGCTTGTTATTCAAGGCAATAACGAGGATGCACATATGCCACTATGAGACTGCTCAAATGAAGTCCTAAACATCAAAGGGAAGATTCAAACAAAAAATACAAAATTAAATTAAATTGGATGGTTTATATGAGAGATTTTCACTGTTTTTCTGGAGGCACTGAACGGTCGTTTTTTCCCTATTATGGGACTCCTCAGCAGTGCGCATCCACAATCCCACCTCGCGAGACTCGAACCCAGAACCTACCAGTCTCGCGCCAGAGCAATAAACCGATGGACTACTGAGTCAGCCGGCATCCAACAGTGTATTTACAAAAATTAATAATTAAGACAGAAACTTACATCACCGTTTATTTTGATTGTCAAAGTAACAAGAATGATTATAAGCAATTGTATCAATGACAACTTGTTCATTTCTACTGAAATAAAAACAAAGAAACAAGTAAACACAAAAACAGTCAACAAACGAATATCGTAATGTTATTAATTACTGTAATAAATAGTAGAAAAGTTTAAGGGTATTTCTTATTTCTGTAAGATGAATCAAAATAGTCGTTGATTATGAATAGTATGTGCTATATCGTGTGGTTCGCCTATTAGACAGGAGTGATTTATTGATCGGACCAGTGAAATATAAAACACCTATGAGCAGTCTTGAGTACTTATCAGTCCTGCTATCTGCCAAGCCTAGTCAGTTAAGTCGAGAACACCAATAACAGTCCCTGCAATATGAATCATTATTCTTAAACATATTGGATTTATATACCATACAAACTGACCACATCATACCATAAAAATAGAAAATTACATTTGTACAAGATTTGGCCAACTATGGCTGTGAATAGAGGGAACGGTAAATTATAGACTAGGGATAACTCAAGAATGGTAAATCGTATAATAATAGTCTATAGGTCAAAATAAAGCTTATAATAAGAGGGACACGAATGTGAATAGTTTAGTTACTTAACAATTATACAATAGGAAATATACATATCATATTGGTCTATAAATAGTCCTCAAAGTTACCATTCATAATTCTCCTCGTGATATAACAGTATGAAAACATTTTTTAAGTCATTGTTTCTCATCCAATTCTCATAAACATTACAAAATAGACACTGGTAACTAAGATAATGAAAATGGTAATGATTGTCAGTATTTATGTAATGTGACATGTTTTTGATCGTTCGAAGATAAACACAGAAAAGACAAAGTGTGTAAAGTTGTATTTATTTTGAATTATGTGATATTTAAATACGATTATGATTGTAGGCAGCTTACAAGAAACCATAATTTAAAAGCTATTTCATACTATTTATACCATCTCTTTGTCATGAATTTAATTACACCAGCTAGATCAGAAAAGTCTAGAATCCTTTAAACAATTCAAAAAACATAAATCTCGACTGATACTTCAATATATTCAACAGATTACATCCGAAATCCTGAAAGATGGTTGAACCAGAACTCTAATAAATCAATATTTCTTATATCTTATTGGCTTACACTTGTTAATCCACGTGAAAGAGCATAGGCCACTCACCACTATTCTCCATCCAACCCTGTCCTGGGCAATCCTTTCCAGTTCTTTCCAGTTGCTGTTCATTCTGTTTGTGTCTGATTCCAATTCTCAGGGCAATGTGTTCTTTGGTTTTCCTCTTTTCCATTTCCCTTCACGATTCCAAGTTTGGCCTTGCTTCGTGATGCAGTTTGGTGATTTCCGTTATGTATGTCCTACCCACCACCTAATTTCATCTTCAGCTGGAAGCTGGTTTGTCCTCTCCCACAGTAGGCTGTTGCTGATGGTATCCCACCAACTGACACTCCGTATCTTGTGTAGACAACTGTTTATAAATACATGTCATATTTTCATGATGGTTGTGGTAGTTCTCTATGTTTCAGTTCCGTACAGTAGAACTGTCTCGACATTCGTTTTGAAGATTCCCACTTTGATATCGGTTTCCAGTTGTTTTGAGTTCCATATGTTTGTCAGTTGTAGGAATGCTGTCCTTGCTTTGCCAACCCTCACCTTTATGTCTGCATCAGATCCTTCTTGTTCATTGATGATGCTGACCAGTCAAGTAAGTGAAAATTTCCATCTCTTCCAGAGTTTCTCCACCAAGTATGATTGGATTGGTGTTTTACGTGTTATATTTGAGGATCTTGTTTTTCCCTTTGTATATGTTAAGGCCTACTGGTGCGATAGCTGCTACTAAATTAGTTGTCTTCACATACATCTGTTCGTGTGTATGAGATGGAAGTGTCATGTCATCTATGAAGTCCGAATCGTCTAGCTGCATCCAACGTGTTCATTATAATCCGTGTTTCCTCTCAAATGTGATTTCTTGTATCTATTAGCTAGATATGGACACGAATTGCTTGAAAATCATTATGATATCTTTTCCAGTCTGTTATAAACTTAACAGTAACCAGAAGACAGTTTATGAAGTTACTTTTCCTGAATATCACATGTGCCTTCACTTTGATTACTCAAGATTGTCATTAATTTTGCTAGTAATATATATATATTAGAGAATACCAGGAAAAGTCTTCAACAGAGTATTGTTAAACAGAATGAAAGATTCCGTAGACGCCCAACTTGGAGATCAACAAGCTGGATTTCGTATATCTGAAACTGAAGAACATCTGGAATTCAAAACAATTGTCAACCAACACCAAGGTTAGAATTTTCAATACAAATGTCAAGACAGTTCTACTGTATGGGGCGGAGATGTGGAGAACTACGAAAACCATAACCCAGAAGATACAGGTGTTTATTAACAATTGTCTACGCAAAATACTTCGGATCCGTTGAACAGACACTATCAGTAGCAAGCTACTGTGGGAGAAAACAAACCAGATTCTATCCATCGGAGGAAGAAATCAGGAAGAAGTGCTGGATGTGGATAGAAAACACATTGAAAAATCACCCAACTACATCACAAGACAAACCCTCACATGGAATCCTGAAGGTCAAAGGAGAAGAGGAAGACCAAAGAACACATTACGCCGAGAAATTGAGACAGACATGAGAAAAATGAACAAGAACTGGATAGAACTAGAAAAGAAGGCCCAGGACAGAGTGGGTTGGAGAAAGCTGGTCGGCGGCCTATGCTCCATTGGGAGTAACAGGCGTAAGTAAGTAAGTAAGTAAGTAAGTAAGTAAGTAAGTAAGTAAGTATTATATATTAGAGAGCTTAAATGAAAGCATCATAATACCTTTTTAAGTGTAAGTAATTAGTTTTGACTATCTCTTTAAAATAGCGTTTTGAAGTATTTATTGAACAGATAACAAATTATCTGTCAAGTGCTTCAAACAAGTATTTCCTTTGATCAATCTATTTACTGAAATAAAAAGATAAATTTCATCGTAACTATGTAATCCAATGAAGTAATACACTTTAAACAAAACAGTGATCATACTATTTTGTTAGGACATGGTTATAAACAGTACTTCTTTTCAAATTCACCTAGTATTACTTGTTTGAATCTTCCCATTGATGTCTAGGACTGCAACTGGTCAGTCTCTAATTGGCATATCTACATACTGGGCGTATTGCTTCGATATAGCCTTATTTCACAAGCGTTGTAAGCAAAAATGGATAGTAGCTAGTAATGGAATCCAGGACGTGAAGTTTCGTCCTATTTGGGACTCGTCAGCTGGATGTACCTGCAATGAGAGTTGATGTTCACTCTGTGATTCCAACTCAGAACCTTTCGCTTCAAACGTCATCGCGTTATCCATTCAGCTACTGAGTACTACTTTTCTTTTACCTACTAAATGTAAAGTAAGTAATACCTTTTTGATGACTATTATTAGGTGAAAGTGATGTTCGTTAAAAACTGATTTCAGTTACGGTACGATTGAAAAAACCACGGATCATACAACAGCCATATTATTCTAAGCACAACACATCTCCAGACCGACCAAGGATCAAACCCAGAAGAACTCGGTCTTACGGCAATTGCTTAACCAATATCATTGTTGTTTTTATGGTCCAGTTTATTTTAGCTTGACTGACTTTGTATTCCTTCAAAATACTTTATCATGTTATTATTAGTCACAATTGCTAAAAATGAATTACGCTAATTCATTATATAGTTCTTATAAACACTTCTTTATGACATTACATAGGTTCGTCAGATGTTTACAAACAACCGTCTTCAGATAATTAAGTTTCATTATAAATGATCTGCATACAGCTCTAATTGTGACACTTCAAAAACAATTCTGTCGATTCCTCCTGGTTTTGGAAATTTACTTTCAATTACGTTTTCAAATCGGGGCATTTATAATACTACTTAAATTCGAAGTTGATTATGATCATTGACAGATATTAAAAGAAATAGATGCATTCGACAATTGTTTAATCATTTCTTGAAACTGAGGAATAGTCCCAGTGCATGATTATAACTACAACTTTGAAGTTATATGACTGCTACAATTCACCTAAATAAGTGAATAATGAACCGGTAATCTACATTAACGACTTCAAAAAATTAGTAATATATATCGTATGATTGAGGAAGTGATATAGACATGCTTGTTGCTATTACGAAGGTCAGTGACACAGCGACATGATAGGCTATATCTATTCCGTTGTCCCCGGCCCTACTAGCTAGATCAAGAAGTCTTGATGAGACATAGATAAGGTATTCAACAAGCACCAACAAACTACTGGATTACTAAGCACACAAATCAAGCTTATTTATACAGTGATAGATACGCTCTTGAGAGAGCCACAAAATAGCATGCTAAAAAATCCGTCAACCAATGACAGCCAAGTAATTCCGAGTGGGAAATGTGAGCTGCAGGTCAACTATGCATTTCTTGGCGCGAAAACATAAAATTCAATTTTTCAAAATAAAATTACAAAATTAGGACACTTCCCAAGTGAGTTCTGGGGATCTAACGTCCACAACAGACATTTCAATTGATTAAAGTATGTTGCAGTTTAAAATTTATTAATTAACACTTGAGTTATATTTTTTTAATGTTATTTAGGTGGAGACCATCAATAGGAAACAATCAATTTAAGGAGCCTAGACAGTTGACAATCACCAACGAAATGCATCAGCGAATTCAAAGGATGATATCATCTCTCTGGGAGTGATAAACGACTGAACAATTTAACCGTTAATACACAAATCAACCATAGTTCTTATTTTACACAGTTATACACACATCTTTTCACGATAGTTATAAGCGAACTCAATTCTATATTCTACCTACTTTAGCAATCAAGGATGTTAGAGGTAGTGAGCAGAAAGTTGGGGATAAAGTTTTCCTTTAGTAAAATTCATAGTTTAAACCATAAAATAGACACGATTTCTTACTTATTTGTTACTAATTCATGGGTTACAATTATTTGTAGAAAAACAAAAACTATTATACACTTGATCGTTGAATCTATTCACT